GATTCTATGATTCTATGAATAATTGTGGCGCCGTAGCTGTTAATCTTCAGTCCTACAACAGCAACTCCCCACGGACACCTCACTTGGGTACTTTGCAGGCGGGAACACAGATTTCTCCCTTGCGCTGCCGACCGCTCTGTTCATTATTTTGTTTTGCAGTTCTTTCCGTATGGAGACGCTTCGAAGTTTGCCCAGCATGCCTTCCGAACCTTTGATAAAAACGGAGACGGGACCATCGACTTCAGAGAGTTCATTTGTGCCCTGTCCATCACCTCGCGAGGCAGTTTCGAGCAAAAGCTGAACTGGGCCTTCAACATGTACGACCTGGATGGCGATGGTAAAATTACAAGAGTGGAAATGCTGGAAATTATAGAGGTGAGATCAGGATGGCGCTGAAAATAACATGTCTGAACATTCGTAAATGTGGTATTAATTGCTCACACAGCCTTTACGATTTTAAGCCCAGGAGGGTCTGTAGTGCATCACTAAAAGCGTGTAGTACCTACGTTCGCCCTACAGTGAGTAAAGGTGCACTAAGGGACGGGATCTCAGACCTGCAGAGCACCTACGTGCACGTAAGCTTTTAAATACCGAGAGGTAGATTTTTTTCTGGAAGAACAGCACAGCAAAGGATTCACAAAGCCCATCTCAAAGTCACTTGACACCCATGGAATTAGTGGTTGGTAGCTCAAGTAGCTGAAAGCTGACTGGAGATGATCTTTGGGTGATTACAGAAATTTACAGGGATAACAACACAGTTTTCAGTGAGCTCTCACAGATGGGCTTTAAGGTGACCGCAGCATGTAACAGGAGGGATAAAGTTTACCTCCCTCCTCATCTGCCAGCTACCAGCCACAGCAGTTAATACCAGATTTTGCTCCCATCTACACCCAGAAAGCTATTAAAAGGTGATGACCGCTGGAACGGATTATTCAGATTTTATGAGAAATATTTCAATTAAGTGACTACAATCCAAATAAACAGTTGATCCAGGGACTGGGTTACAGCAGTTTTGCACTGTGAAATGGAAAGGCAGAGAAATTCATTCCAGGGTGCAAAATGCAACCACCGAAGTAAATCTACCTCTGAGGGAAGTAAAGCACGTTCTTCCCTGTTTAATTATATGGACATTGGATTCTAAGGAAAAAAAAAAGGAAGAAAAAACGTTAGGGAAAGTGGTGATCATTTTGTTGTTGGAATGTCTTTCCAGACTCTGATCACATAAAAAAACCCTAGGTTATAATTTGTGTGTTGAATTTTCTGTGTGGTTTCTTTCGCAAGGCCATCTACAAAATGGTGGGCACGGTGATAATGATGAAGATGAACGAGGATGGCCTGACGCCTGAGCAGCGAGTAGACAAGATCTTCAGTAAGATGGATAAGAACAAAGACGACCAGATCACACTGGATGAGTTCAAAGAAGCGGCAAAGAGCGATCCTTCCATTGTACTACTCCTGCAGTGTGACATTCAAAAATGAGCCCCCGTGCAACGTGTCATAGACTGCACAGAAGTTTAATGTTCCATTCAGTTTGCAGCTATTTCCACACACACACACAGATTTGCTTGGACTACCTATAAATGGACTCGCTTCTTGTGTTTGAAACACTCGTGTGCATGAGAATGTCATTTGCTAAAGAATTTTAAAAAGTATATATTATAAAAATAAACTGCCACAACGTGACGTGTGCAATGTCATTTCGTACCGACCCTGTTCCTCTGAAGCCTGTGCAGCAGTCCTGTGCTGCGGTGAATTCTATTATTTATTGTTCCTGTTTGACCGATGCTAGCTCTGTGTCTCCTAGGCTGCGTGATGTTAGTGACACTGAACTCCCACGGTGATGTTAACTGTTTATTATAAACCAGGTCGCCATTCTGCTGTAAAGTAGTACTGGACAGACAGAGGGGAAGAGTTCCTCAGCTCTTCAGTCTGATCCACACATGTGCTTGTGTTGTCAGTGGATATAAATGTACTTCATTTGCATGCCTTTTAGGTTTGCCTTAATTCTTACCTCATTTGCATCCCTTCAATCCGGAAAGAGCTATGTCAGAGGAATGCGGTATACAAAGAAAATCCTGCTAAAACGATCCCTTTAATTAAAAGTATCTATAAATATATATATATAATGTTTAAAATATTGTTTTATTGGAAGTTTAAAGGTTTTATTGGAAG